GCCCCTCGGTCCCCAGTCCCTTCATCCCCCCTTCGCGTCGCTCCTGCTCTGCTTTACTTTCTGCCCCCACCTCTCAAGCGTGGCCCTCTGCTCGCCAAAGCCACCCGTCCATAAAGCAGGTTCATCCTCCATCCTTTGTGCCCCAGCTTGGGATACTGCTGCCCCAACCGGCACGGCTGAGTGGGCTGGGAGAGCTTCTGCTGGGCACAGTGGTGAAGGCTGGCAGCAAAGCCACCGCTGGGGCACGGCGGGCTCGCTGACACAGACAGGAAACTTCCAGCTCGCTTCCAAGCAGTGGTGGTTTTTTGTGTTTTGGTTGCTTTTTTTTTTTTTTTTTATGGTTTTCTACCCCAGTTGCCAACTGAGTCATGTTCAAAAATTCAAGAGCGGCCAGAGAGTGAAAATTAAGTTTCCTTGTTACCCTGAGGAGTCTCATGTGGTAATTGGTCTATGGCTGTTGGTAATGGATTATTTATTTTAAGAAACCCTTCTCTTTACTAGTAAACACATGTGTTCCCCCAGCCCTGGCCTGGCTGAACAGTGAGGTCTACCTCTCTGCTCGAGGAGGTGCTGTCACTCCGGGGCACGAGAGAAGGGCTTGAGGAGCACTTGCTCCATCTACAGAAACAGTTCAGGGTGTCTAACTGCTGGGCTTCAGGGAGGCTTTGGTTTCGGCAGCTTCCTTAGGCTCGGGTTCCCCTTAAAGAGCATGGCAGGCCATGTGGGCAATGTTTTTGGCTTTGTTTTTTTTAAAGTTTGGAGAGGAAGTTTTGGGGATTTTTATTTTTTTTTTTTAGGGGAAAAAAAAAAATCCTGTCCTAGTTCTGATTACAGAACTTGTGAGCATGCACGTGATATTACGACAAAGATGCCCCACTATTATCCATGTGAACATGAGGCTTAATAAGAGATGCCATTTTCACTCAAATCCAGCAGAAAACAAAACTACCTTATAAGAGATGTATCATTCCCCATCCCTGTCTGGGATTGCTGTCTACCCCACGAACATCTATATTTTCAGCAGTAACGGGAACCTGATCTGGAATTCCTGGTGTTTATGATGTTCATACGTACATCCTCTTTTTTGGCCAAGAAGTTACTGTAAACTTTTTTCTTAAGGCAGGAAGGACAGACCCCGCACCTCCCTCCAAGGAAAGGAAGATGGATATAGTGTCAGGCTCAATTAGATCCAATTGTGGTGGCTTTCCCTAAAGCGAACAATGCAGCTTTTGTGATGGACTCCCAGCAGATAGCTTGGAAGTCTTGGAAAGAAGGCGGGGGTGAAACCAACACGCACCCCAAAGTCCAAACCTTGAGATGGTCCAGGTCCCTAGGGATGCAGAGGAGATGGCGTTTCTTTTTAAGAGGGCCGGAGTTGGGCATTATTTTGCCATTTGAAATGATGTATAAGGGGTGAAGGGGGCTTGAGCTGGCAACAAAGAAGTCCAGCCTGAACCAAAAATACCTGTGGAGGCAGAGGCTGAGCACCCTTAAGGGCCAGGAGGGGACCTCCTTTGGTAGGGCATCCGACCCACCTGGGGCAGCGAGGGCCGCTGGAGCCGGGTAGTTCGGGGGGGTGGAGGGGGACGAAGGGGACGGGACACACGGGACAAAGTGGCCTGCTCAGCGCTGGAAGTGCTTAAAATGCAAATGTCCAGGAACTTCAGACCATCCCCCTCCCTCCTCCTCGGCGCGGAGGAAAGCAGCTTAAATACAGCCAGGCCTGGAGAGGAATGTTAAAAAAAGGGGGGGGGGGGAGGATCGCCCTCCTCCT